AAAATCACTGAGCCTTTTGTATTTAACTATAGGAAAAGCATGATTTCCTCTGAGTCAGTTATTGAATAATCACTGAGTCATTGTCAGTAACATAAACCACTGAGTCAGTCCTAAGTATATCTGCTCTCCTAAATCACACATAGCTCTGAGAATAATAGGGACAGACAACACGTGGTTAACAGGGTTTCTATGGAAGAACTTATGAATTAACAGCTGGCGTATGAATTACAACCCGATTTATCCATCCATCCATCGGCAACCGCTTATCCTGCATTCAGGGCCGCGGGGAACCCGATTTATATCACTTATATTTATATGCAAGTCCCTCTTTCCAATCAACCTGAAGCGACGACCTGAATCCAGATTGAAAAGTATTAGTAATATTTCTGTACATGTGAGTAAAACGAAGATGTCTGTTTGTTTTCTTTAACATTACACAGATTATTGTTTGACTTATTTTGCTCTATAAAAAAAATCAATCAATTAAATAAGCCTATTCCTTCCCGATTTCTAGTCGTTTTAAGTAGCCTAACCACAGCAGCAGCTGTTTGTTATGTTAAGTTACTTATAGTTTTACGGCTTTAACAGCAATGAGTGGCTCAACTTAATTGATATTAGGCCTACCGCTAATATCCTCCACACATGGGCCTACATCCATGTTATAACTTCCAGTAAATCCTTAAAGTTACTGAACCGAACAATTATTTTCAGTTTATAGACACTAAAAACCATCAGTAGGCCTAGAACAATGGACAAAGTCGCGACTTAATTTAACTTCATTTCATTTATCTTATTAACGCACCGGTGGAAATGTGAATGAATGAATGCAGTTAACAGTCAATAGCAGCGTGATGAACTTACCTTTTAAGGGTGTCCAGACAGCCGTACTTAAACATATAGTCAGAGTCCAGAGCGGCAAAAAGGTAAAGTCAAGCATGGAGTTCCCGAAGAGAAACATAAGAACAGCTAAGAGTCAGACAAACACGCGACTGCCTCCTCAGGTGAGCGCGACTGGCGAACGTGTCCTGCTCAGCTTCTTTAATTTACGTAGCACTCGTAAAGTCACGTGGCGGAGGGGGGGTAGGCCCTAGTTACTAGGGCCTAGTAGCTTCTTTCTCCACGAGTTCGCATGACTCATCAGTATGTGATGTTTGGTAACGCTATTATGACTAATGTATTTACATATATAATCTCCTCTCCCTGTCTCTTTACATAATACTTTCTCGGGATTGCCACTCTTTTCTAGACTTTTCCAGTGATGATCTTGCTTGTAGGAGAGACAGGGATCAAACTGTGCCTCTCTGCCGAAGTCTGAAGTCCTCTGGAGCCACTAGGGGTTAAGTGTCTTGCTCAGGGACACAATGGTGGATGTCTCACAGTGGGAATCGAACCCAGGTCTCCCACACCAAACCAAATTAGTGCCTTTATAACAAATGTGAGGTACTACGGCTAAAAAGTTTCCCATCACGGTCCATTTTTATCATAATGCATGTTTGAAGAGGCAGTCCATCCATCCATCCATCTTCATCTTCTTATCCGGGATCGGGTCGCGGGGTTGAAGATAATGCTATTAACAAAGGGGGGAAAGTGATGTTAGCCAGTATTTGATGTACATTCAGTTGGGCTCGCATTCACTGTCCTGACTCTGGCTTTATTCATTCTTATCCCACTTTCTCAACAATACTCAACACGTTTGAAACAACTGCTCTGGCTGAAACACAAACCTTGAACCTTCCAGGCAAATCAAGCGCGCAAGCGCATCAACATCAACATCTGAACAAACATTTTAACCAACTTAACATTATTCTACTGTTTAAAACAAGCTGCAGCATCACAAGTTGAAGACGTTAATCCTTAAACCCAATAAAAAGTTACCAACCACATATTTACCTTTGGAGGATCCTTCCAATAGAGTTTCTGTCATTTTAATTAATGTCATCCAACCTGTGCAACATAACCAAGCAACCACAACAATGTTAAAATTATTTTCCAGACCGACACAAAATTTTCCAGGACACTTGAATTTTCTGTCATTTCCATGTGTTTTCCATGACTGGAAATTTGGTCAACTGTTTCCCAGAATTTGTCTTTTACAGACCTTTCATAGGCTGCTCTTTATTATTATTATTATTAGTAGTAGTAGTAGTATTTTGTGGTTTTTCAGAGCAAACCACAAAGACTTAAATCATAAATTCAAATCGACCTAGCTAGAGTGTGGTAAACTTAAATCTTAGATGTAATCGTTGTAAAAAAATAAATAAATAAATAGAAGGACTTTATTTACAAAGCAAAACGCCGTGTAATTAGGCGATTGTAGCAACTTAAAGCCATCATATTCCCTCACATTTTCCGTTCATTATTTACACAATTTGACATACAGGAGCTGTAGGAGTCCACACTGAACTTCATCTTTATGCAGTATTAATGTTAATCCCAGAAAACAAGACCAACATTTCTTTCAATGTTCAAAGCTAAAGAAAGGAAACACCTCCTCCATCTCTACAGCTTCGACATTCTGTTCATTACTTGTTTAAGGACACTTTTTAACACTAGAGGGAGCCGCACAACAGGACAAAGTTTACATTTCCAAAGTTGCGACTTGAAGAGAGTGAATGGAGAGAAGCAAATAAATGTATATACATTTAGGATGATCTTAGAGAGGCAGGTTTACATAAAGGACTTGCTATTTTAACCTCTTGAGATACGCCAAATGTATCACGTGTTACTGAGAACCATGCTCAGAATATAAAATATAGGGTTCAGGAAGTATTTCACTCTAACAATAATAAACCACAATAAACAAACAATCTGCTAAACTGAAATAGAATCAACGATAAAGCAAAAATTCAGTTTAAAGAAAGCAAGTGAACATAATTCATATTTGTGGTGAATTATAGTCTGAGGTAAACTAATGCAAAGTTTAGGGGCATTCGGTCTCCCTTCATATTCAGCTGAGCTCTGAGAGCCTCCAGGAGAAACTGAGGGGCTGACCTGACTTTCTATATAAAACAATTCAGCATTCACCTTAATGCAGAGACAGCAGAAAGAATTAAGCCAACACACTGTAGTCACTTGGAAATGTGATTTATTTGGCTACTATAAAATAATAATAGTGCACCAAAATTGTAAAAAATATTTTAATTAACTTGAACGTACTGTATAAAATCATAATGTCTATAAAACAGAATGAACAAACATTGAATTCCACTGTTTTGAGACTCACAGCTTAAAAGCACAACACAAGAGGTAGATCATACAAACTAATTTAAAGTGCAAGAGGTCGTTCACATTTAATGTTTCTACTGTTTCAGTTTATTTCCTTATAAAAGTTAATAAAGCTCTGAAGGTGATAGACAGCTGTAGCTTTAATTCTGCATTAAAAAATAAATAAATCTGAGATACTTCTTCTGAATCACACTGTATAAACATAATTTATTGTGTTGCTATAACATTATGAACACATGCCTAATATTGTGCAAGTCCCCATTCTGATGTCAAAACAGCACTGAACCATCGAGGCATGGACATTGCTCGAGCATCACGCTGCCTCCGCCCGCTTGTCTTCTTCCATTAATGATATTAGCACAAGGAGGTATGTCGTTAATAAATATTTACACTCGCAACTGATCTCTACAAAAGAACTAGTTTATGAGATACAACCCAGTAAAACTCCACTTGGTAAAAACTGATGTTACAATGAGGCTCAATTTGAACTTAGAATCAAGAACCAGCTCCTGATCATCATGTTTGTGGTTTATGCCACTTACTGATATGAAGTCTATTACAGTCAAGTAACATTTGGAAAACAATCATGTATATCAGCTCCAAACAAAACAGGGTTTTCACAGTTATCCTCCCTTGGGGGCAGAAGAGTCTGACGATGAAGAAAGGCTTGGCACTAAAAACATTTTTTACATTTACAATTGCTATATATGTCAGAGGTCGCACGCCTCTGGAGCAGCTAGGAGTGAAGTGTCTTGCTCAGGGACACACTGGTGAATGTGTTGCAGTGAGAATTTAACCTGGATCTCCCACATCAAAGCTTGTGTTTTAACCACTGCGCCATCACCACCTTTTCTGTCGTCTTTTTCGTCCATCATGTGTCTCTTTAAGGTAAAATAGCTGTCATGTCTGGTTGCTACTGAAAGACTTGAAAATGACTGAGGAGGAGTCAAATTTGAGCAAACTATAAAAAATAAATATAAAGTCTGAAAGCGATCCTGCCGCTAATGATGTGATGAGAGGAAGAGGGAACTTCCGTGTCTGAAAAGGGATTGCAAAACTGGTTGCAAAAACAGTTAGATTGTATTGAAGTCAGTGAGAAAGTGAGCCTACTTCTCTAATGATTTATTCCCTCAGTAAACACTTTACTAATCAGTTCATTGTCTCTGTCGATGGTTTAAAAGTCTCCTTCAACATTGTTAATGTTCCTTTTGATGGTAATCTGTGTCCATCATGAAGAGCTCCCTCCTGCTGATCCAGTGGATCCACTTCTGGCTGGAGGTGATGCTGGTCTGAATCCCTGAACTGATGAGGAAGATCCAAGAGAGGGAGATGTGCAGAACACTCTCATCTCCGTTAACATCAAATACTAACGAGCTCTTTAGGAAGACACTTTGGCTGGAAGTGGCTCATCTGGAGTGACATCATACTGGGACAAGTTGTTTGCTTTCCTTCTCCATCACATTTACTTTGTGAAACTTCTGTTTAAACACACATCCAGCACCAACTCCAACACCCAGGACAAGTAAGATGCAGAAAGCCACAGCTGGGATCCAAAATCCCAGATGGGATCGACCACCTGATGTGAAAAAAGTCAAACAGAGAAAAAAGTTACAGTAACTGAAATACAATAGATCCACAAATCTGAGTGTGATTCAGCACTAATAATGTTAATTCTTTTTCTCCTCACAGAGTTGAATCTTCTCCTCACCTTTAACATCCGTCTCCTCCTTTGGATCAGGAGTTTGGACATTTGTGGGAAGCAGCGGCGTCTCTGTTGTCGAGGATTTAACAAAGTGTGGATCTGAAAAAACACAAGATTTGAAAATTGTTATTATTGTTAATATTAAAATGAAACATTTACACACAAGAGTCACATAAGCTGTTGACCAAATGATCCTTTAACTTCTACAGATGTCTGTTTTTTCCTGTGTGCAGAAATCGTCTATGTTCACTACATTTTGACAGTAAAGTTCTGCCTTGTGTTGCAATCTGGACCATCAGCATCTAAACAAACTCACCAACAATAAGTAGAACAATCGACTCCTTCACTTGGCTGTTTAACTTGGGGATGAAACATTTGTATCTCCCTCCATCAGCCTGTGTTACGTTGGTGATCTTCAGAGAAATGTTTCCACGTTTCAGTTTGTCTGTGAACAGCATCGTCCTGCCGAAGTACGACTGGAGCTTCATGTCCAGGTTTTCACGTCCGTCCCTGTAAACGTGCACGTAGTCGACCCGGCTCAGACGATCAGAGGGGTCGGGCTTGAGATCTGGCTTCGACCACTCCACCGTCAGATCCTCCACATTGTAAGCAGGATCCAGGTGGCACGGCAGGATGACGTCATCACCCGGAGCAGCGATGATTGGCTGAAGTGACCCGATCACACGAGGCTGACCTGGAAAAAGGAGGAAAATTTAAACCTTGGACTGACACGATTTTTGACTCTTTATTGACTGTATCAGATTGTACATGATTCTTCTTCTTATTGTTATTGATTGTATTACGAAAGTTAAGTGACTCTACTTTTATTGTATTTTGTCCTTTACATTTCTCTGTGCTGCTGTGCCAACAAGAAATGTCCCCTATAAGGGAAATTAATAAAAGGTATATCTTATAAGCGCTGTTAATAAGGAAGATTGAATCAAATCTCACATTATCAACCAAAGTTGAGTCCTGACTTGGTATCAAGGAAAACACCTGATGAGTGAGTCAGTTAGTGAATCATCACCAATTAGTCATCATCCTACAAACAGCTGAATGATGTCAGACAAATCTACGTAAATATCTTAAGAATTAAACTAAACTAAATCTCACAAAGCTCTGAGAATAACAGAGACTACATGTGTGTAACAGGATGAAAAGGTTATGAATTAACTAAGTCCCTTTTTCCCACCAACTTGAATCCAAATTCATAATTATTAGTAACAGATCTGTACATGTGAGTGAAACTCAGATATCTGTTCTTTTCTGTTACAGGTTATTAATTATACTACATGTGATGCTCTATAAAAACAATCAAACCTGTCCGATTTCTCCTCGTTTTAAGTAGGCTTACCAAACTAAGTTACAGCAGTAGCTGTTTGTTATGTTACGTGTCCTTTAACGGCTTAAACTATCAACAGCAAATCAACCTAATTGATCTACACATCGCATGAGTGTTATAATGTTAGTTTTAAAGTTACAGAGAAGCCATAGCGTTACGGAAGAATAGGCTAAACTATCAGGAGAACAATGGACACAGTCGATCCTTAAGTTATTTTTCTTCATTCAAGTCAGCTTTATTGGCATGAATGTATAGTCTAACAACAATATTATCATATTATTAACTGATTATCGCTCGACATTTGACTGAATGAATGAATGAAAGAAACTGTTAGCTCTAGTAACGAAACATATGAACTTACCTCCAACAGGCTTCGCCCACACTGCCGTACTCAAACATACAGCGAAAGTCCAGAGTGGAAAACAGGTAAAGCCAACCATGAACTTTCCAAAGTGAACCATAAAACCCCTGACAGTCACACAAATAGGTACCTCCTGAAGTGAGCTCGGCTGGCGCTGAACTACTGAAGGAGTCACTGTCACTGTACTCCTTATAGCGTGTGATGACGTGTTTGTTTTGTAGCCTATGTTTTGTTTCTATGGTGAGTGGGCGGAGTTTGACTGCGTTGCTAGACACAGTGTGGTAAACATTAAGTCTCTTTTTTTATCCTTCAATATAACTCCAAATCTAATATCACAAAACTCTAACCTTGGTGCCTGAGAGTCCTTTTCAGATATCCATTTATGAACCGAAACCCAAAAGGATTTTAGATAATTACAAGCAAAAAAACAATTGCTCTAAAGTTTCCACATCCACATTACAGAAAGTACAATTAGCCTATTCTTATCAATAAATCTGTGTTTCAGAAAAACATTACAAGGACAGGCCTAAATATCATTTAATATTTTAAAATGAGTTTCTTTAGCTTTTGGTGAGGTTAAGGGAACTTGTGCCGCGTTCGAGACCGGTCGGAACTGGGTTTCCGAGTTGCATTGAACGCAACATTCCCTCCATTCAGCAACGGCATTAAAGCACACGTCAGTTCCGCAGTGTGTTACCCTGGTAACATAAACACCTCGGATACCCGCTGCTGCTGTGGACATTCACTGATATTAAATATTGAAGCCTAAACATTAAAACAAACAGATACAATTAAAACCTACATTTCTATAGTACAAAGACTTACTGAGAAGTTAGCCTGTTGTGAAAACAAAGAATTATCTGCAGACTGAATAGTTTTGACGCACTGTAGGTGGTGTAATTTACTGCGACCTACTTTGTTTTTAAATGTTTTCAATTTAGCGAAGAGTAAAACTCCACTGAGTAAACACTGACGGCTCCTGATCACCATGTTTGTGGTTTAAGTCACCTACTGATATGTAGTCTATTAAGTAGGCCTACAGTTAAGTAACATTTTGAAAATAAGTTAATTTGTGAATCGTATATATCAGTCTCAAACAAAACAGGGTTCTCACAGTTATCCTCCTTCAGGGCAGGAGAGCCCAATGATGAAGAAAGGCTTGGCACTTCAGACTATTTTTACATTTTTACTCATTTAGCTGACACTTTTATTCAAAGTGATTTACAATGAGTCTCCCACAAAACAGGCATGCGTCTTATCCACTGCTCCATCACCACCACTTCTGTCGTCTTTGTTGTCCATCATGTGTTGCTTTGAGGTGAAATAGCTGTCATCTCTGGCTGCCAGAGAGGCTGCAAGAGCTGAAGATGAAGTTTGAGCAAACTATAAAAAATAAATATAAAGTCTCTCTCTTAAAAAACTAAATCTCAAAAGTTAGATTGTATTGAAGTCAGTGAGAAAGTGAGCCTACTTCTCAACTGATATATTCCCTCAGTAAACACTTTACTATTCAGTTCATTGTCTCTGTCGCTAGTTTAAAGTCTCCTTCAACATCGTTAATGTTCCTTCTGATGGTAATCTGTGTCCATCATGAAGAGCTCCCTCCTGCTGATCCAGTGGATCCACTTCTGGCTGGAGGTGATGCTGGTCTGAATCCCTGATCTGATGAGGAAGATCAAAGAGGGGGAGAAGTGCAGAACGTTAACATCAAATACCATCTTTAGGAAAACACATGACGTCATACTTTGGTGGCTGAAGGACAAGTTTAATAATCAGTCAGTCGTCTCCCAGAAAAGTCTGGTTTGATTTTCACAACGTGATCAGTTTCCTTCTGACTCACATTTAGTTTTTGAGGCTTGTGTTTAATCACATATCCAGCGACGCCACCACAGACTCCCAGGACAAGTAAGACACCGAAAACCACAGCTGGGATCCAAACGCCCTGATGGGATCGACCACCTGATGTGAAAAAAGACAGATACAGAAGTTACAGTAACTGAAATACAACAGATCCACAAATCTGAGTGTGATTCAGCACTAATAATGTTAATTCTTTTTCTCCTCACAGAGTTGAATCTTCTCCTCACCTTTAACATCCGTCTCCACCTTTGGATCTGGAGTTTGGAGATTTCTGGGAAGCAGCGGCGTCTCTGTTGTCCAGGTTTTAACAGTGTCTGGATCTGAAAAAACCCAGATGACGATTGACAACACAATATTAAAAAGAAACAACATTTACAGGTGAATGCTCGCACAAGCTGTTGACAAAGTGATCCTTTAAGTTCTACAGATGTCTGTTTTGACCTTTTGACTAAGAGACTTGCTAGCAGCTCTGTGAGGCTGAAAATCATCAGTTTCAGTCTTCACTTAAAAAAGCCTGCCATTTGGGAAACACTGCCCTCTTTGCTAGCTGTTGAGCACCAAGCAGAGAACGACTGTAAATCTGTAAGTGAACTATAAAATGTTTATCTCAGCAGCAGAGTTATTTAATCTAAAGAAACTTACCGACAACAATCCTAATAATCGTAGCCCTCCCCAGCTGTGGGATGAAACATCTGTAGCTTCCTTGGTCAGAGAGCTTCACGTTGAGGATCTTGAGTGAAGCGTTTCCGTGTTTCAGCTCGTCTTTGAACAGCGTCGTCCTCCCAGCGTATGACGACATCTTCATGTCCTCTACATCGTGGTTGTCACGGTAACGGTGAACATGCTTGTACGGACTCAGTGGATCTTCGGGGTCACGCGGGAGGTCGGGACGCCACCACTCCACCGTCAGGTCCTCCAGGTTGAGCAGAGGCTCCACACGACACGGCAGGATGATGTCATCACCCAGAGAGACCACGATTGGCCGAGATGAACCGATCAACTGAGGCTGACCTGAGAAATGGGGGGAAAATAGAAATCTCCTGAAAGAGAGTGAAGTCTGGATTCTGATTTGCTTCCAAAACATTTCCAGTAACAGGAACTGTTATTTACTTAATAAAGAAGATTATAGTCTAAGTATGAGATTTATAAATCTAGAGCTGTACTTAACAATCATTTACATCACTGATTAATCTGACAATTGTTTTCTTGATTCATTTTTGAGTCTAGAAAATTGTGAAAATGCAAATTAAAGTTTAATAAAACTGAAAGTCTTTAAAATGTGGAGCACTTGGTCACAGAGTCGTGATACTAAGTTGCTGTTTCTGGAAGATATGCAACTGTTATCCTGATCCACCAGGACAATACAGAGGTTTAATCCTAGCAGGGTGTAAGATGTAATGTCACCAGCTGCTACACAATAACTCCCTCCACTGTGTTTTTGTTTTATTCCCAGGAGGGTAGAGAAAGTACAAAGATATTTTTCCCTATTCTGTATAATATTTTCATTCTTTTTTAAAATAAAACATAGAAAATGATAAATGCCTTTTCTTTACACTTGCAGCATAAACAATCAAGCAACTACATTTATGTCTTATGTCTGAAATAATGACATCCAAATGTGGTATAGCACTTGTTTATTGTTATTGTATACTACTAAAACTACAACCTATATCACAAATAGATCATTTTTAAAACATCAATAAAAATAAGTGTATACACAGGAAGAGACGAGGTGTGTCCAGATGTATCGACTGATTATGAAGACAGTTCAGACTTTACTCGTAGCATCGTATCGCTGCTGTGGAGATGATTAAATATATCACAGTCACCTCTCAGACATGATTACCACATTTCAAAACCAACCATATTACTTTTTGCTGTATCTAGCAATACAGTTGGAGCAGGGACACCTGACTGAACCCCATGTTGACGGGGATCATCAGGTCTCCTGGTTCTACTTCTAGGCATCTCCTCAGTAATAGA